CATATACCCCTCAGTCACGGTTGCAGTTTGTTTTACATCTATCTGCCGTCTACCTACATGTATGCACATTTCTACATGTATATATCCTCTAGTAGGAGTGAGAACCCTAGATAGTAAGTCGTGAGTTATATATTGTGCACGATTGTTCGATACAATCACAATCACAATGTAATGTACCAACTGGACCACTACATACCATCTGCAAATATCGTTTTTGTCATCTCAGACTCTAGCAATATTTGTGATATGTACACTGCCTGTACTGCACAGTGTACAGAAAACAGGCAATCCTCAAATGGATAAATGAGCACACTTACCTGGTCTGACAAGTAACGAACATCTGGAAATATCACAAATTATAGGTACGTTCTATTCTAATGAATTGCACAATAACGAACGGCAATCAGAAATAGAGTTCCTGTATGCGAGCGATTGTTCGTTACTTTACTCCAATTATAAAATTCAGATCATACCATTTATTTAAAAGGGTTATAAAGAAGGTGCATTTACTTTTACTATCACATTACTTCAACCTCAACAATACAACCAATTAGTTACTCTAACTAACTTTAAATAATGTTGTCAGCCTCTTTAAAAATTGCTTAAAATAAATTAGCATAAGTACGAGGCATCTCAGTAACTTAGTACAACACCCGACAGAGAATCGTTGAATCCAAAGTTCTAAATGGCGGACAAAATCATGGCTGATTCGCTCTCGTCCGAAAAACCTGAGGACAAATCATCGCAAGAGGAGAGATCTGGCAACGGCCAAAACCTGATAGTAGACGAGGAGGAGCAAGAGAAACAGGCGGAACGTGAATTGACTCAAACGGACCATCTGAACAAGAAGTTATTGAGCTCGTTTTTGGATCGATTGAACCAAGCAGCAACACAATTCCCGGAAGTTGAACGGGCAAGAGAGCTCGAAGAGGATGGTCGTGACAACAAACTTGCTGAAGAGGGTTTCGAAGACTAACAATGAGTGTCCGAGTTAGAGACCTTGGAACTCAGCACGACAGACTTGTATATGGACAAATACAGTGCTTAATTGGTATCTTTTTTAGCGTCATGGTGCATTTTAACTTCCGTAACGCTATTCTCAGTTTGTGCCAGTGGATGACTAGTATAAAGGTCAATTTCATTAACCGACAGGACTACTCAGCACTACCCAGTGTTACATGTGCATCTTTTATGGCTTTCACGTGACACACCTTGAACTTTGAATGAATCTCGACAATATTTATGCAAATGAGTTGTTACGCTGTGGGACGAAACTTTATCTTGTATCATTGACCTGGTGAGATCTCTGTATTTTGTATTGCTGCACAACATAAACTGAACAAAGCGTACGTGTGAACCATATTTTGTTTGTTACCTAGGTACAGCCACCCCTCCTAAATTGAAAATAGTTGTACCATGGGTATTACATCTCTCATATCAGGGTCACTATGGTATCACCTGCCCCTCCAGCATGATCTGACAACTGGAAATTATCAGTCGGTTTTTGTTTATAATCTTGAGGTAAAAATAGAATCTGTTTATCTCAAAAATCACGCAATTAATAAAGCATCTTAATGCGGGGGAGTCGTCACCTGCACATACGTCAGATGGCCATAGCGTGTCATTGTTCACAAACAAGTATCTCTATCCATGAGTCTTTTTTAGCGTGTGTTGTTATTGTCGCCCGGGACTCAATTCCCGCGCGTGCACAGTTGACGACCCCCACTTTAAATTTACATCTTGAACGTGTTTGTTTGGATGTCTTAAAAATAAAAAGTCGGGGGTATTAAAGATTTCTGAAAAAAATACAATATATTGTTATTCTAGCTATTTATATCATTAAATATGTTTGTTAATCGCAAATGTTGTTCCTAACTACATTTACCCAAAACCACGCCCTCACAACACCTTTCGTGGTTTTCTATACACATGTACATTTAAAAGTGCCCATTTGACAACATTCCATCACAATATAGTAAATTATATTACCTTTATTTCATAGGTACAATACTAAATCGTTCGATTCTCCTCTCACCATTTCTCTTCAACATAGACAAAATACAAGTGCTTATTCTATAACAACGCGGCAATACAATTATAAAAAATATAGCGTGGAACTATGAAATTGATCAGAAATTATTAATCATTAAATTATTAAACGAAAAACAATGATTTAATATGTATTTTTTCGGATAAATGTAGAAACACAGCGTACTAGGTTAGAGAACAATAATCCCAAAACAAAGATTTGAATGCCAAAACAAGACGTATAAGCCTCGTGATTATAAGATATAACATGCGAGAGTGAGTATGTACGTGTATTCAATACCACGCGAATTGATCAGAAACTACAGTAACTGTAAACCCTAAACACAGAACACGATTTTAGATATTAGCGGAATGATGAGTATGGCAAAGATCTAGTCAACCACAATATATTAATATTAGTTACTATTCTTAATGCACGATTCGTTAGTCTTGTGTTTCTTTGTATCGAAGGTGATTCATATTCACTGATTGTAACATGTTTCTGTTGATAAACAGCATTTGCATTTGAATAAGTGGCAAGTATTTAGTTGAATCACAATCCATCTGACCGGCATTCTGCCTCATACACTGGTACGCCTACTCTACCTGAACATGCCGTATTTTGTATGCGACATCAAATCCGGAGGAATTTTTTACTATAGAAAGAATGAGATACAGTTGCAATTATGAGCGATTAACAAAACACAGATTATAAGGTATTTGAAACAACCGAGTGGTGTAAGCGGTATCCAAGCCGAGGTGCCATAACTGTAGCGGTTATTTCTATAGCATTGATATTAAAACCAAGTCGTTAATTAGATTTTAAACATTTTTGAGATTTCTCCAAACAATAATTTTTAAATGATAATTTAATATTACAATCATCATTATTACAATTATTGTTTGCGTAATATACTGTCGCATACGACTTGTTTACCACTTCCGTGTGACTGAGTATGTTCTAGAACCGTACTGTGTCTGGGTGGAATTTTTAGAAGTTGGTTGAATAGGTAATAGGGCACTGTAGAAGGCAATAGAAGGTAATGGAACATTCTAGAAATTTGTAGTAAGTTCCAGACTCATTATGTATGCTGATGTAATGGTCTATTTATAGACAGTGTGGGTATATATAGGGGAGTTGTTCAGCACTGAGATCAGATCGGAGATCTCGTTGAATTGTATTGGAGTTTAAGTATCTAGTTATTGGAGTAGTGGAGTTTTACCGCGTTATTGTACTTGATGTTTGCAGAGTATAATAATACCAGTACCAGTTGAAACCTCATCTGTTGGCTCCGTGTTCGTATTTTATCATCGCCGCCAGGGACGTCTTTTTGTTACTGTTGCCATTTTGGTATTTGAACCATCACACCTGTACTATACCAATTACGGTAATATTACGTTGTGTGTGACATATACACTTCTAATTTGCTAATAATATTGAAATGTATATCGTTACGATCACTTCCCTGAGATTACGACTAGAGGGTAAAACTTGTATACATCACCCCAAACACAATTTCATTCCAATTCACGTGAAAAAAAGGAATCTCGTGAGAACAATCTAATAAGAGTACATCTGTGCCTTGTATATATTTTGGCTGCTGATATTTTTACATTTTTACAAGGGTTGCACATTTTGGTCACAGAATTAACTACTTCGAATCTCTTTCCATATTTTAAAACGGCATACAAATAGTCCAAATGTATATTTCATTTTTTTTTATTATAAAATGACTTTATGAACTACTTTGAAATCACTCATTCGACAGTTTATCTGTTCATTTCTGTCTGTTAAGAAGCTCTAGCAACAATCCAGTAGCTTATAGCAAGAGAATGGCTATGTTTTGTTTTCGATGTAGATCCTCGAAGTGATTACGAAAGTTCTTTTTATACACACTCGCATGCCACCTGAGATTTAGATGGACAATACTCCATAATTCTATACCACCAGATACCTGCGAAGTGCTAATCTAAACAGCAAGAACAGTTTGAGGGAATCCCCCCAAGAACCAATCTGCTTCGAGTATTCAATTCATTATTTTATGGCATGACTTTTCTGAACTGAAACTGTAAAGAAGCAAATTATCCTTCTGCCCGTATGGTGGATTTGCTCGGTATAGAAACATTATTAGTGTCCTTGTATGTAAAAGAGAAGTTCCGGCTCCATCGTAATTAAAAAACAAACCCCAAAGTTAAATTTGACAGACCAATTTAAGAGCAATAATGTAAGAACCCCAGTTTTCCATTCACAGAGGTGCAGGATGGTGTATGTTTGTGGTTAAATCCACCCCTTGGTTTTATACCGTGGGGTCCATGTATCAATCTTTCACTGGGATGATTATGTTTACCAACGCGTTATCCATGTACGTCGGTTTAGTAATTGTTGTTATATCTATATTTGGTACATTATTTTCCCCTTATTGTAACAATTTCTCCTTTTTCTTTATATAAACCACCAAGTTCTCTAGTTTAGGTGCTGTTGGTGGATTGAGTCTCTAAGGGCACTATAAACCTGGTAATTTCATAACAGATATGATAATACACTACACACCGACCGAGCCGTTGCCAGGTTAAAAAGGTCACGATAGGTTACATATACCACTGTCTCTAGAAATATGTGTGTCCTTTGGATCATCAGGATATTGTAAAAACGCTAGAGTACAAGGTAATTTAAGACAAAACCATAACTTGCTATAAGAATATTAAACCAAGTCAAATACTACACTCTGACAATAAATGTAATATTAAAACCCACAAAACATGCAACATTCTCATATAACATCACTGGATTTCAGCAGTATATATATAATATAATATTTTGACTTTGAACTTTACAAACATTTTACTCAAGTAGATGGGATTCTGTGCTATCTATGCGTGTTCGCATTCATGAAAAGATATATCATTCCACCGACAGCTTCACACTTTTAGCTTTCCGTAAATGTCTAATTCTAAACCATATTAAACTGTATGATAGTGTTCCTAGGTCTATCATCATTCTAATCGGGACAAGATATGCACTTTGCTGGCCAATTTATTTCTTTATTAACATGAGGATTAATTTGTTATAAACAAAAGGTACAAAAACAAATTCAAATATGTTAATGGATTTACCACCACAAATATAGTGATTTTTATCCAATGAGGACTACATAATCTTTTTAATTTTAATTTTAATACGACGAATGCTCTACTCCTCCACAACAATATCTCACGCTCTCCTGCTTGTGGCATATAGATTTCCCAGCTCATAAGCTATCGTTTTTAAAGAGATATTGTCTTCTTAAATCCTAACTAATAATAAAAAAGTAGAAAAAACGACTAGCCTTAGCAATAAAACGTTCTTTCACAACAGAAGCAATTTTATTCTGAATTAGAATAAAATTCACTGGGTGCCACATATGAGTTAGGATGTGCTAAGACTTTGAGAAAAAAATGACATCGAAACTTCAACAGTACTAGAGGACGCTATGACCTCGTCAGGACGTGTGTGTATATGAAAGCTATTCTCATTGGTGATGCGGTGTTCGCCAAAATACAGCCCCAAAATATACCGAATCACTAGTGCAAATAAATAACTTCCACATTAAAGTCTTAGTGAGCAATCCTGTTTTCAGATTTTTTATTGTGTGTGTGAGAACTAAAATTCCTAAGTTCAGTGAAATGTGTATATTTTGAAAACCAAGTGTGAAGTTATTATCCTCTCAAAACATTTTTTCAATGCATTTCTGACTTCAGAGGTGTCTTAAAAATATAATTTTAGTTCTGTCATTTTCGCACGTAATCGTAATGCAATCTACAAAAATATTGTTCATATATTTATTTTTTATATATTCATTTTTATAGTTCAGTTGTACATGCATTCTATAGAAATATATACCACACATTCAGAAAGTACTTTGGGATTTTTGTTGGATATCATGAAAATTTGATATTTATTTACTTTATTTTTTTCAAATTGCATCTTATAACCGTTCTTACAAAGACACATCAATTGCAACTATCTATTGAAATCTGTCCCGTTTTGTTTTTATTTGTTACCATCGAATTACTGAGAAGAATAAACATAAAAGCGGAACTGTGTTTCTTTGCTAGTTAGAGCTAACAAGTGACTAACAGCTGTTTCTGTATATGTAACCTTTGATGGTTACGGCGTGACTTATCAAACAAAATAAAACATGTGCGACATTTCTATAACACACTTCAAGCAAAGTATTACAAGTGAATTTTCAACAAAGCAAAACACAAAAATGGAAAAAAAGAAAAATGAAAACCCAACTACGTTAATAGTAATTAACTGAAATATATAAAAATGAAAAGTACAGTTGAAAATAAACCACAAATGAAACTGCAATGTAATATATAAAGGGGAAAAAAATATTAGAAACATAAAAAAAAATAATATTGAAATACAAAAAGACAAATGAAAATATTCCCTCATAAACGTGTAGCGCTTACCAGTCATGTCACATCCTGGAGCTGGTTTAAATTCGCCAACTTGATTAATCGCTTTTTTGACAAATTAACATTGGTTACTAGTACCTCACAAACAAATCCAAATCATGTCAAGTTTTCATGCAGTAGAAATATAATTGTAAACACTAACCAT